ATATTTACTATTATAGTCTTGTTCATTCTCTTTGTCACACTATTTTACTGTGATGTGTGTTGAACTGTGAAGTCTTTTAGAATTTCTTCGGATTTACAATTGGCATTAAATTCTTCTAAACATAACTCCAACCCGTTATCGATACAGAGAAGTTTGATCTATTTTCTAGTTTGTTGTCGATCATAATCTTCCACTCCTTAAAGCGGTAAATACATCGCTCTTCTACTTTAAGATGAAAAACTTAACTTTTCTTTAAGAAATTATCAATGAGCGTTAGCATATATTTGACACCACCTTCAGATGGTACTGTAGATGATCCCTAAATATCATAATATATGTAATTTAGTATTTCTTGGCATTGTGAATGTTAATATTGAATTTAACTCTTCTCGATTTTCCATGCATACAATGCTCACAAAACTTCATTTTAGTAATATTATTATTATTTATAAGTCATCTTATGCTCAATTAAGCCCTCCCATTCTCATTCAGATGCTCTTGGCACATATGCTAAAGTTTGGTTATTTCATCATTTGACATGAAAGAAGAAGTAACTGTTGCATCACCTATCACCATAAAGCCTCGCAAAATATATAGTCTAATAGGCATATTATGTCCTTTCATCATAACAAGAGAGCCTTTACCTACCTTAAAACTCCACTTTTACGATAGTAGTTATAACATTTTAGCATCAAGCGTACTTAAGAAAATTAAATTCATTTTCAGATCAAAGACACGTCTCATATCTCCAAATGTATTAATGGATCAATCAAATATATTTATTCTAATAGTTCCAACAACACTGCTAATCTTATATAGAGCATTAATGCCCAATAACATGATGATCAAGCGTACTTAAGAAAATTAAGTTCATTTTCAGATCAATGACATGTCTCATATCTCTAAATGTATTAATGGATCAATCAAATATCTTTATTCTAATAGTTCCAACAACACTGCGAATCTTATATAGAGCATTAATGCCCAATAACATGATACCCTTCGACACCATTTCATATGTTAAAAATTTATACCTATTACGACACATATAAAAAAAATAGATTGAATCAAGAATTCAATTATCACAAAGGTTTATTGACAGCGACAACTAAGAGTTCACCATCACTAGCAACATCTTCAACTATACCAGCTTCACGAGAATAATTTGATTGTTTTCCTTTCTTATTTGAATTTGCTTTCTTTTGTTTATTCTGCAACATTTAACATTCATATTTGATGTGCCTCTTTTTTCTACAATAATTGTAATTCTTTTCCTTATTTACATTTTGATCTACTCTTTGTACCAGTACTAGGATTCCTCTATTGAGTTCTACGTCGAATAATAAGACATTCTCCCCAAGCAATAGGTTCAACCATAAACTGCTTCAAATTCTCCTTAAAAATATAACATCTTATAGTTCATATAGAGTGTCTCTGACTCAAACAAGATGGTATCTCTAAATATTATAGATGAAGGCATCGAGCACAACAAATTTAGTGCTAAATCTTCTTCATCATATTTATTTTCCACGGGTTCAAAATCAGAAACGATTTATTTTAAGGCAACAAAGTGATCTATAAAAAATGCACCTTCTACCATATATGAGATTGCAAATGCTGCTTTAGGTGCAACATACTGGTCAGACATTTCATCATGCATAATTTCTCTAATTGAACCAGAACACAGTAACGGACTCCTCCTTCAAACTTCCTATAAAATTTGATTTGACAGATAAAAATGAATTTGAGAAAGAGTCTTTCAATCTTTACGTTGCTTCTCCTCAAGCATCCATGATGAGGGAATCTTTTCGAACCGAAATATAGCATCATATAAAACAGTGGTGTCATACTTCATGGTTGCCATTGTCGAGATCAAAACTTATCTCTAATATCACTTGTTATAACTTGATATCGAATTGATGCAATAAATAATGAAATAAGCAAAATAAAGACCACAAACTTTATGTGGAAAACCAAAAATGGGAAACACACATTTTTTAATTAATTTATTTTCTACATAGGTCTTATTTTGATCTGCCCATTCACCTCATAGCTAATTCTTGTGAAAGTGGGGGTGAAATTAAGATTTTAAATGAGAGAAAATGAAAGAGTTTATCCAAAATTAAGATAATTTTAAGATAAACTTTTTATTTAATATATATTTATATTACAATTTCTCAAAAATACATTTTTAATCATTATGTAGTTCCACCAGCGCAATAAAAAGTACACTGTTGATCCATCCTTATTTTTTAATATGGTCATGTAGTTATTATACCCTTTTTGTTATTTTTCATTTAATTTTACTTTGTACATATTTGATGCCTAGCAATCCCATAAATTCAAACATGTCCCTTTTAAAAGGCACCCTTTTGAGTATCACTTTTGACTTTTATTATTTTTAGTTTATCTTATTTTTATTTTATTTATGTTATTTCATGAGAAGAAATATTTGTATTTTCATGTCCCATTCCCTAGAGAAATATTTAGACTTAGGGTTGTGAATGGAGCCATGCCCTTGATAAAAAACTTAAACTCGGCTCAATTAACACTCAATCGTACTGTTTTTTTAAATTTATAAATAAACAAGTTTGAACGTTTTTAAAAGCTCAAGCTTAAATGAACTAAATATGAACATAATTCAACTTGTTTATTAATGTTTATGAACAAGCTTGTTTGTTGTTCAACAATTAACTTGTTCAATACTTGATGTCAAACTCGATGATAGTTCATATTTTATTTGATTTAGGGTTTAAATAAAATTTGATTAACTAAAACTTAATTAATTATAGATTTAATAAGAGTATTATTAAATCAATAATATTTTATGATTAATTACTAATTATATATTTATTAATTAACCAATTTAAATAAATTAATTTAATTTTCTCAATATATATTTATATATATAGACACACATACACACACATTCATTAATTAATATTGATTAAGTAATTACTAAATAAAATAATAATTAATTAAAATTTTTAAAATGAATTATAAAAACTCATATATTATATCTAATATATTTAACAATGATTAATTATTAATCAATGAACATAATTAAAATCAACAAATAAAAATTTATTATATCGTAAACCACCATACTCTCCTATTTGTAAACCTCACACTCTCTCTCAAGTTTCACCCCAACAATCTCTTATCTCGTGCCTAAATCCTTCGTTATACAATCATTAGTACTTAATTAAGTTATTTGATCATAAAAAAAATTTACTTGCAACAAATAATTTTTTCATTAATTTATATAAAAGAATTAGATATTAATTCAGAATTTATTCAATTGCTTATTTATTTAGATTTATAAAATCTTTTCTTGAAATTTTTATATAAAAATCCACCTACTCATTCAAAATTTTAGCTTATTTGTTATCTTGTTTAAATGCTCATTTACATGACATAAACAAGTCAAGTAAAGATCAAGTTCAAGTATTAAAAATTTCAAACAATTCAATTTTGAATATCATGTGAAAACTGGACACAAGTTTAAGCCGAACACGAACAATTTATAATATTACCAAGTCAAATCCAATCCACGATATACTCGACTCAACTCAGCTCTGCCTCACATGTGGTGCTTGTTTGAGCAGGCATATTAAGAGTACAGTTAGGGCTGGTTCGATGAATTTCTTCGACACAAGAAGTATGCACACTAACTTGTTGCAAGAAGATAAAACTTATAATATTACCAAGTCAAATCCAATCCACGACATACTCGGCTCAACTCGGCTCTGCCTCACATGTGGTGTTTGTTTAAGCAGGCATATTAAGAGTACAGTTAGGGCTGGTTCGATGAATTTCTTCGACACAAGAAGTATGCACACTAACTTGTTGCAAGAAGATAAAAGGTTTAATCTTGACTCTTGGCATTTGCACACCATATCTTTCTTTAGGCTTTCTAGGCATTTAGGGTATGTATAGTAATGGATTTAGAACAAGACTTAACCTAAATTCTAGGCATTATATGATGATTCTTACTTTTATAATGCATATTAAGAATAAGATATTAATTATTAAATTTTAATTTAAAAATTATAACAAAAGAAGTAATTATCCATAAAAAAATTACTGAATATTATATATAATTGTGATGAGCATTAACTGAGCATTAACAAAGGCAATCCTTCTCCTTATACAAGGGGGCAATACTAGATGGCCAGAGTTAGCAATGAAGAGTCAAAGGTATCCATCTTGAACAAAAGAACTTGTTGATTGATTAATAGCAACAATCAAAAGTCAATTGTGACATTCTTTAGAAAGAAGAAAGGCTACATGATGGGTGGCTAAAATAAGCAAAGAAAATTGACAAACCAAATAGATAGACAATGAGAGAGCCAATTCATTGACTTGGGTTATATACATTAATATTCTTTCTTAAAAAATGAAGATGTGTATTGGACAAAAATTGTGCAATGAGACTACATGATTTAAGAAATCATAAAAATGTCAATTATAGACTTCTAAATGCAAGCAATCCCCACTCCAATGATCATTTGTTCCCCTTTATTACTTGTCTGATTTCTTAGTGTCTCATAGTTCATGAGCGAGCAGCCTTCTTAAGGGTCATCTCTATTTTTTTTTTCTTTTTTTTAGGTAAGTTGAGTGCTCGGATACAACAACTTGGGATTATTCACTTTTTTTCAAACAATTGTGATACACATTCTAACATGAGTCATCACTACCATTAGAGGATGAATGATCCAGCCATCATCATTCATAACTAAAAAGGGAGTAGAGACTACTTCACAAATTATTATCAAATTTTTTAGCCTCAAGTATCAACTCGTTCAAATAATCTTCTTGAATCAATGGAAATATATGTTTTACATTCCTATATGTGCATTAGTTTATTCTTTTGACTATAACAAGCTTATGAAATTAAATCAAGATTAAACTAAGATCACTTTTAAGAATTGGTTATTTAAATATGTTAATAACTTAATTTTAAATCTATTTCCCTTCTCATTCCTTGAAAATTTGTTGTTCAAGTTATTCATCATTTCCCTTCTATGAGTTCACCTGTACATGAAGTAGCTTCTCTCAGTTCCACAGCTTTTAGGGGACAAGAGTTAGAGTGGTATACACTTACATTTAGCGCAATAAATTGTTAACTGGGTGATTTACACAAGCAACACAAATTTAGGAGAAGATTGACAAGCTAACCCTAAATTTATTCTGAGCTATATCGGAAACAACACTTATATGCTTTATTGGCATCTTCATCTTCTTTGGTAGTTAAGCATCTTTATGGAAAAACCAAACAGGAAAGCAAAGAATGCTGCAAACCCAACAACAACAACTGCAACTACTCCCAAAAATTCATGCTTGAACCCGAAGTAATGCCTTATAAACTCAGTCACTGGCTCACCAGAAATATGCCTATCTCTTACATCTCCAAACTGTGAAACTACCAACCCGTACAAAGTCCATGCGACTGGACAAGCCCAATAATACCATCTCCACCACACAGGCATACTCTGTCCAAGGATAAAAATTTTGAAGTTGTTAGTTATGATTCTAATTAGAACTTAGATGATGGGATTGCAGAGTGGGAGAGCTTACAGGGCGTGGAATGAGAAATCCCGAGAAGAGATTCCATATTGCATAGAATGCTGATGACACTATGGCGGCTATGTTATAATTTGGAGTCAAACCTACTGCCATCATTCCATAGTATGTGTAGTACAGGAATGTGAAAAACATGAAGAACAAATACCAAAAGAATTTGGCTGCAGTCCATTCAAATCCTATCATTGAGTAAACAATGATAGCATATGTTATAGCCTGGACCAAGACGTATGGGATCTCTATTGCAGCCTGCAGATTCATTAAGTTTTCATGAGGAATCACAAGTAGAAGATGAATGTTTCTGAGTATATTTGTATATCTGAATATATTTGGATATGAGGAACTTGGTTTTCTGTGAAAGATCTGACCTGTCCAAATGCATATGGCAAAGCTGAGTACATTCCTG